CACGCCGAGAAGGCGGAGAAGCAGCAGCAGCGGCATGCAAATGCGAACAGCAACGCGCAACACCATGTGCCCGCCGGCGGCATTGGCCTCAATTTGCAGCGACAGGTTGTGATGAATGCCGCCGCGGCCGCTGCAACAAGCGACCCCAATTCTTATTGGGCTAAAGTGGGCGCCGATAGCGCAGTGAATGCCGCCACGTTGGCCGAAGCTATACAGCAACAACAACAGCAAGCAGCCGCCGCCGCTGCAGCAGCCGCAGCGGCCGCACAACAGCAGCAACAGCACGCGGTGCAGAATGGCTACAACTTCGCAGCGCTACAGCAGCACCAACAACAACAACAGCAGGAACTGTTGCAACACCACCAGCGACTGGTGAACGGCGGCGCGGGTAGTGGTGGCGATAGCGCCGGCAGCGGCAGCACGCCCAATCACTCACAATCGCCCAACGACGAGGGAGAAGATCTGGTGATGCGCCAAACGCCGCAACATCACCTGCAACAACAACAGCAGCAACAACAACAACAACAACAGCAGCATCAACACCAACAATCGCATTCGCCCAATCCGCTGTTGATGGGCAACGCAGCGGCAGCAGCAGCGGCGGCGGCGGCCGCAGCCAACTACGATGTGAAAACAACCAGCGCCTTTACGCCCATCAACACGGCGCCGCCACATTTGAACGCGCTGGCTGCGCAACAGCGGCCACCCGCCGCCGCAGCGTACCTGTACCAGCAAAATGCGGCTGCAGCAGCCGGTTTTCCAACGCAACTCATCTCGCTGCACCAGATACGCAACTATGCGCACCAGCCGAGCGCAGCGGCTGCCGCCGGGCTGTTGGCCGGCGATCACCTGCTCGGCTTGACTGGTGTGACTGCGGGCGGTGCCGGCAAGGATAAGGGGCAATAGTACGGCGCGCATCACAGCGGTGATGGCAACAATAACAGCGGGTGCCGAGATAGTGGCGGCGGCGGTGGTGGTAGTAGTAAAAGGAAATCGAAAAAGCGGCAACATGAGCGCGCACGTGAACGTAGTTGAGTTAGCGGCGAGGAGGAGAGGAAAGGAGGGCACAGATTTCATGGTCAGCCGGCAGGAGGGCGCGCAGCGTAGTGAGGCCGTAAGCATGGCGGCGCGCAGCGGCAGACGCATTAATAGGGTAACAGCACAAACACTCAGGTTTTAAAGATGATTTCAACAAAGCAGCAATAGTAGAAAACGAAACAAAGCAAAGCGTACAAGAAAAAAAACAACAACAAAACAATCTACAGTAAAGTAGACGCAGCCGAAGCATTTAGCTGCTGGCAGCAAATTAATTTGCGCCGCAAATTATACAGAAAAAAAACGAAAATAAAAACAAGACAAAAAATAGCTAGCAAACAGAGAATGCTGATAATCTTTGCTCCCACACGTTATTAACACTACTTACATATGTACATTCTATCCACTGCTTCTCTTCTACCCCATCTTCGTATGTATGTTTTAAGCCGCTTTCGGCTCTTGCTTGCATGCCTGTATATACATTATACATACATATGTATGTATCTCCATAGAAATCAGGCACCTGCACCTTTCACACCTCTTCGGAGCAGGTGCTTCTCTTCATCATCATCTCCGTTACCTTTCTGTCTTTTAAACACACACCTTCTGCGCTCATCCTTGTGGCAGTGGTGATTTCCATGTTTTCTGCTCCTCATTTTCATTGCGCAAGCGCGCATTTACAGTATACAAATTCTACAAATTGTAGCCCTATTTTTAAGGTAAATAATTGTAGTTATCGATTAGTTACTCGTCTAGCATTTAGGTAATCGTATCGTATTATATAGTAAAAGTAGTTTGATAAGCCGAATTTACTTTATGTAGTAAGCGTTAGTAGCTAGAATTAAGCTGTATTGAGATAAAAAGTTCCAACTTATTCGTATGCTAATTATTATTTTTTTTATTATTTATGTATGTAAATGTATTTCTATACAATATCTATGATTTGTAAACTTTTTTACGATTTTGTTAAACAAAA